GCAGCTAACTCATGGATGAGATAATATCTTGTGGGTGGAAGAGAGGACAAGATGCTCCCAGTGTTTTACAGTGACCCTAAGCAGAGACAAATTTAAATCTCAAGCTGCTGCTGCTGCTGCAAAGACTTACACACATGCACACATGATGTGCAAGTACGCACGGGGTTTTCATTTAAATCTCGGCTTTGTTTAACTCACCAAACAAGAAATGTGGTCTGTGGCTGTGTGTTGAACATGATAAAGGTTTCAGTTAAAGTAGAAGGAACAATACCCGCCCAGCATCCAGCAGCTGTCTGTGTTGGCTTCGTCGTACGAAGTCTAGAGAGGATATAGGGAGGCAGAAACGGGCTAGGCAGCTGGTGCTTTTGTGGTGTTTTTGGTAGCATATAGTTACAATGTCAACCTTCAAATATGACAGTTAGGAATACAGTTATAACGGATATTAGTTTAGGATCGCCGTCAGTTCTTTAGTTTCACAGCACCAAATGAGTACCTTGGTTGACCTTTACATATGCTGCTGCTTGGTTTAGAGTTGGACTGATTATCTAAACTAAAGTCCAAGATGAAGCCATCTTGTTCAGCAGCTCCCCTTTCCTGCAGTTCTTCAGTCCATCTGTCCCACTAACAGCCTTTTAATTGAGAGTCCTCCCCAGTCTGATGCTGGCCATTGCTAACTGTCAGTGTTTATACAATTGGGCTGGGACAGGGACTGTGAGCCAAGCAAAACATCCATGAAACATCAAGCCTCGAGCTAAACAAAACCCAGCAGTGAGAGACGCACACACTTGAGCCAGATAGGAGCTGGAAATGATGCGTTCTGATTGCATCTAGGTTAAGTTGTTGACCACAGTGGTAACGCGACAGCTGGGAGAGAGTTGACTGTTGTTTCGGGTCTAATTGCTGAAGCCTTGTCGGGATTTTCCTCGGCTTGCTGTTTAGCTGTTAAGTTTTCTTGTGATTTATGAAGCCCAACGCACACTCCTCTGTCCTTTTGCTCACAATCGTCGTCTTTAGTTGCGAGCCAAAGAGGAAACCCTGGCGAGACACTAGCACAGTGACTAATGTTGTGTATCTGGCCGGGCCTCAGATAACACAGCCTCCTCCCCCGGCCTGCTGTGACAAATATGTGCGAGTGTAGCGGTGGGATCTGGGCCCAAGCTCGTCCCTGACCCAGCACAGGCCAGACACAGGTTAAACCACGGTCAAATACAATCCAGAGCCACAGAAGCGGAGTTGCAAGTACGTGAGCATCTTAGAGAAGTCTGATGATTTTGTCTTTCTCATTTCCTCTGACAAGCCACACGCACAGGCCAACTCACATCTTGATCTTGTTTTTGATGGCCATCCTTGACACATCCGTCTGCTGCCTCTCACTCTGTAGTCTTTTATCTCATTGTGCGCAATCAGCTTTGATGCAGTCACATGACAAACATTTCTTCTGTTTCACTCCTCTTACATGTTCCAAACTAAATGCGTAACAATGCACAAATTAATACAGAGAAATAACAGGCACTGTGCGTCCCCTCCCTTCCTTTTTCTCCCGTCAGTGCCTCCTCAGTCGAGAGGGGCTTGCTGCTTTAATGCTTCTTAATGCTGTTGTCTGCTTAATGGGCCAGATATGAGAGGTGCTGCTAGCCAGCGTAATAAGTCAGTGATTAGAGGGCGCCTTGTCACAGCAGCAGCCCTGCAGACAGTGGCACGCTCTAATTGCTGTATTAGACGCCCCTTAAGTATCTTGTCAGCTGTCAGACCCCAGCTCGTAAACAGCAGAGGTGCATTTGATATTTCCATTTGTTTGTTTCCATCTTCTGCTGTTAGCGGTGCCGCGCAGAGAGGTAATTAGAAAAAGGCCTGTGCTGTGTGACATCATCGTGCTAAATTTGGCTGCTCTAAATTAGATTTTGTGAGGAGAGTTTCATAGTTTATGCAGGAAAGTCTTCTGTGGCAAAAGCAGAATAAACTGAAGTGCAATTAAGCCAAAGAATGTACTCACAAATTAAGATGAAGTGTGTACAACATAACAGGACCACAAAATGATCTGCTTGACTATGTCTATAAAATAGTCAAGCATGCTCGGGAAAGTGTAAAGCAATAATTCAAACTTGAAAAGTCAGAACCTTAAAAAAACATCAATCAGTCATCAAGGATGTTGCTTATTGAGTTTCCACTGATCAAATCTTTTTAGCTCTGAACATAATTGGGGGTCTGACTGTTAAGAAAGCACTTCAGTAGCACTTTTCTTACATTTCACTGTAATCATTGGTTCAACACTAGTTGAACAGGATATCAGTTTAACTAGATAAGAATGTATTAAAGAAAAAATATTCCACTGAAATATAACAATAATTTCAATATTTTTCTTGTAGGCCTGTAGGTGGTTCAGTAGTGTAGTCGTTTACACCTTCACCTAACACGACACCAACCTTTTGGCGTCAGAAAGGGAATAAGGGAGTAGTCTTGTAATCTAGGCTGCAGGGAACTTATATGTTGGCAACATGGAAATTTGATTAGGAAGTAAAAAAGGGCTGTAAGTGGCTACATGAGCATGGATGTTGCTACAAAGTTGTTACATTAAATCAGGAATTTTATGGAAAACTATTCAAAACATACCACTGAAGAATTCTCCTTTTTTGTCTGTCTATCTGAAAGGTCACGCATTTGACCCTAACTACCTCTGAATGTTTATGAGCTCCTACATCTGGTTAGTATGTGTCCTTGACTAAAGGAACACTGAACTCGTTTAATGCGCACTGCTCTGGATTAGAACGTCAGCTCAGTGCTTAACTTTTGCTCCGACTGACACACGGCGTGTAATCCTCGCACACTGCGAGGATTGCCATCCCTGCACCTGGAGAGCTTAAAAATGGTGTGAAGTCAAATAATCTCTGTCTCCTGTCTCATTTGGTGTCAAACTGTGAGGTGACATGGTTAGAAGTGGTGTAATTTTGTGTTTAATCTTGGATTAGCCCGTGTTCATTTTGACACCTCCAGTAACTAATCTGGTTTACAACACCTCAGGGCAAGCAAAGGGGGGGATTCTGATAGATTTTATGGTCCCTTAGTTAATTGTGAGTGAGGCGAGTTTTATATCTTGAATTGCAGGATATTGGTCTAATCCGCAGACGGGGTGAATGTTACTTGCAAAGCAAAGAGCAGAAAAATTCTGTCTTTTGCAGCTCGTGCGCTGACCTCAGCTGTGTGATGCAAAGGCCGATCTGCGCCTCTAATCCTTGTCTATCTGAAAGTGCTGATTGCTTCTGATATTGTGAAATATAGGCTGGTGGCACAGAGATGGACTCCAACCTACGACCCACAAAACTGTCTCACCATTACCTTGTAAAAATTACATTGAGACAGTATGAGATAACATATTCAGTGCAGACAATAAATTCATAAAGTTTAGTGTGCTGATAAGTAAAGTTTGGTCTATGAACTAGCAGTTAGCTTTATATTGTCTTCCTCTTTTTTTTTTTTGTCTCTGACAGACACCCACAGGTATGTCTGCATTTTGATCTGACAAGCTTCTGCATCATTTGAAATTCCCCATCAGAGTAAATACGCAGCAGCTCACTGCAGTCCCTTTGTACCTTCCAGCCAATGTGCCGCATTAAGAACACCTGACATATTTTCTTTGCAATACTTTTAATTACAGATTTTTCTTCTTATCATTTTAAAGAAAGAACATAGGAAGAATATCCTCAGCATTTCGGCACAGACCCGCCGCCATACTGAATGTAAAATATTTTATTCTATTTCTATTAACTTGTAAACTCTGTAAATATAAAATGTGCAGAATTTGTGAAGCAGTGAGAAGATTTCTGATCTGCACTTGCAGTTCAATGGATGATGGCAATGAGTCTGAGAGACCAAACGAGGTAATGCATTTACCGCAATGAAATCTCAAAACTATTAGACTATCGCATAATGATTATTTAGCCCTTAATCATTATTATTATTATTATTATTCTTACTTTGTTTATGCATCACCAGCATAAACAGTGACTGCCTCATGGAGTAGGAAGCTATCAACTTGCACACAACAGCCAACATTACATTAAAGTAAAAAAATAAAATAAAATACATATTTGATTAACAAAGAAAACTTTGGATGTCATGAGTGTTTTCTTCCCATAAGACATTTTGCTGCACTGATCCTCCTACAGCTTTTGATTCCCCTCAGGCAGTTTAGGTTGGTGTTAGGATCTTTATTCATCATTTCATATAGATAATGTAAAAAAAAATGTCTGATAAACACAAGGCTGACAATTCCTATTAAAGATTCTTATTTCTAATTAATTTTCTTGCCTTCTTGCTTCCCCGTGCCAGCCTGACATTTACAGCTTGCAGCTGTTGTACTCTTCTGGGTGATGAAGTTGCATTCATTTATACAATTTTTGCGATATTGAACAATCAGACTCATATATGTGATCAAGTGAACACCTTTAAAATCTAACAGGACATTGTCTTGTCTGTTTTGTTTTGTTTTTTATGGGGAGGTTAAGCCTCAGAAGACGATGTGTTGCACTGCACTGAGTCGGCCTTGTCAAGTCTGGACACTTAACCTCTCCCTACTAAAAGCTTTCCGGGGTCAGACTAAGTGCAACTCCAGTGTTGAGTAATGGAGCCTCAGTCAAAACAAGTTACATTTCTATGTTTTCAGGAAGCAAAGCCCTTTGTTGGGTCACGTGATCTCAGGATTCTTACTGTATACGGAGAGGCGGAGTCACACTATGGAATCAAAAAGTAGTTGGAAATGTAGGATCCGGTCTTTATCTCGCTGTTGTCACATTTTAAAGAAACAGTCAAAGCATTATGTTCAGTATGTGATGAGCTTTGAGCTTTTGCTGACCTGCAGCAGTCTTCTTAAACTTCTTTCTTTTTTTTTTCAGTTCACGGCTGTTAGCTGAAAGCTGCTCTCTGTTAGTCTTGCTCCATTATCTCTCCTTTTTACCCAAACTGTAATTCATTTGGATTTCTTCTTTTCTTGTGTGTTTCCACAGGCCATTCGCTGCACACTGGTGAACTGCACGTGTGAGTGTTTCCAGCCAGGGAAGATTCACCTACGAACATGTGACCAGTGCAAACATGGCTGGGTAGCTCATGGTGAGAAAATCACATGACCATAAATCATTAAGGTTGTTGTTGTATCTACCAAAATTAATCAGAATCAGAATCAGAATCAGAATACTTCTGATTCTGATTCTGATTAATTTTGGTTAGTTATTAATTAGTTATTGAAATAATGAATAGATTCATCCTTTAGGGTTTTCATAAAACTACTTTATGTTTCTATATAGCTGGGCTCTATGTAGAAATGATCACAGTACAACTAATATTATCTGTGTTCTGTTAACTTTACTAAACCTGTACTAAAATCCAAATGATTTTTGCTAATTTTCCACAGTAAAAGTAACTTTCCAGTTCGTTTGCTTCTGGTTTTTTTGTTTGTTTGTTTTTTTTGCTTTCAAAGAGTCTTGTTTTTGCATCTTAGATCAAAAAAAAAGAAAGAAAAACTCTACAGCCGCAAGAGAGATAGAGTAGCAAGAGACCACACCTTATGAGTTTTTCAAGCGGGTAAAAGAAAAAGGGAGAGGAGGCAAGAAAGTACAAAGAGAAGAAGGAGGGTGTGGGGGGGGTGAAGATAAAAGAAAACACCTGTTTGGCTTGCGTCCGCAGAAGCGCAGGCCATGGGCCCTTCAGCAGATCGCACAGGACCCCATTGACTATTTTTTAATCTCTCCCTCTGAACTGTCAAGCACCCATCTCTCCTCTCCCCCACTTTTCATTTCATGTCGGCATTGGCAGGGACTCTGACAAGTAGTTCTTCATTTTTTATTATGTTCGTGTCTGGCTGTGCTGTGTTGTCAGGCAAAGCCCTCGTCAGCAGGAAAAAAAAAAAAAACGTCCCGGGATCAGAGAGAGACCCAACCAGGTGTCACCCAGACAGGCGGGGAAAGAGGGGTGGGAGAAAGAGGGGGGGTTAGGAAAAAGAGAGAGGGACTGAGAAAGAGGAGAAGAGATAAAGAGTTCACCAGGTGTCACCCAGACAGGGAGCAGGAAGAGGTGAGTGAGCCGGCAACAGTGGGGGTATTGACAAACCTATACTGTAACTTGCACTGACCGTTAACCTTTACGAGCTGCGGTGACAGAGAGCAACTTTTTGCCCCCATTTCTGCCCCTCAGGGGAGGGCAACCAACAAGCTGTCGCAGGTTATTGCTGAAATTTGCTGGTAGCTGCATGTAGATGCAGGGCTCCTCAGCATGTTTTTCTTTAGTAGACAGTAGACATATCATTTATAATTATGTAATACCAACAATTCGTATAGTCTGCTTTTTCTTTGTAATACTTCCATTAATATGAAAAAACAGCATAAAAAGTCAATGCAAAATTTTATTTGCAAGACATTTATGAATAGGTCTTGCAAAAACAAAACAAAACAGGATAACCACTGACTTAATTATGTCCCTCCTGCTTCTTGTCATCTTTAAATGTCCAACACAGTAGAAAGAAATCCTATGTTACCCTTTAACCCCTATGACATGCACCCAGTAACCATGCAACTTTGGCTCCGTTGCTTCTGAATAATAATAAGTGAGCCAAAAGGTGTTAAGGTTAGAGGCAAAACGTGGTGAAACTGGGGTGACACATCAAGACAAAAGAGGCAAATAAAAACAAAGGTGCAAGGGCAGCGTAAATGTGAAACAGCCAGACATTATAGATTCAATGGAATAAATGGCTGATAATAGCGTTAATGCCACTGCTTTTATCTGATAGATATGTTATTATCAGCTAGTGCTGACTACGCAGTAGCCTAAGAGGAAAGATTTGAGATGGGAGAGAAACTTGATAGT